AGTACAAGAATGATTTAAGTGATCAACAGTGGCCGTTGAATTTTTTTCTATTTCTTTAAACTTGAAATAATTATACTTGTGATTGCAAAAATGGCTCAATGAAATTTTAATAACCAAAGCAGAAAAGCTTAAAGAACCTAAAAAGAATCACGTGAAATCCTAAGCATGGATTAAAGTTTTGTTTTCATTAATGCCCTTTAAAATATTTCTGTGTGGTATAGCAATTTGTGAAAGTGATTACACTTTAAATATTTTCCTTTGAACATCAAAATTGGGGATACTTATGAGTAAATACACATCTGTCTTATCAATTTGATATTTAATGTTTTACTGTGCGACAGGGTCATTATTGATTGGGTCAGTGTTCTATTTGGATATTTGAGTTGTACTTATTTTTGTTGTTGCTAAGAACATTAAGAACAATCTTAAATCTACATCTTTGTTAATTTGAAATATATTCTAGTATATTCTAGTACCAATGCTTAGAAATGAGAGTCCCAATTATATTTTTGGTATATACATGCACTGCACTCAAGTTCTTATATTGCATGAACACACCATTATTTTCCAGTATCTTGATAACCCTAGACTATCAAACTTACCTTTATATAAAACTGTGGTGTCATGAGTTCTAGCATTTTTTTGTAATAAAAACATCTAGAAACTGGTTAACTGGAGAAAGAAATTTGAGCATTCCTACACACATACAAATTATAGATTGAGCATTTCTATACACATACAAAATATATGTTAATACAGACAAAAAAATCTGCCACTGATAAGATGGAGAACCAGCATGGGTTTCTATTATCTTCCTCATTCTAGTCTGAAATGCTACTGAAGTGCTTAAAAAAATGTATAGATATAGTGGAATATTTATAAATATACATGAGTAATATTTTCAGAAACATAAATATTTCAACATGGGACAGAATCAGTGGTAATAAAAGGGACAAAGTGGGAACAGTTGGCTTGAAGATACGGTTTTTAATTTTTTTTTTTTTTTTTTTTTGAGACGGAGTCTCACTCTGTCACCCAGGCTGCAATGGCATGATCTCAGCTCATTTCAAGCCTCATCTCCCGGGCTTAAGTGATTCTCCTCCCTCAGCCTCTCAAATAGCTGGCCAAACCATCACGTCCGGCTAATTTTTGTATTTTTAGTAGAGACGGGTTTCGCTATGTTGGCCAGGCTGGTCCCAAACTCCTGACCTCAAGTGGTCCAACTGTGTCGGCCTCCCAAAGTGGTGGCGTTACAGGTATGAGTGACCATGCCCACCCTGAAGATATGTTTAAATGAACTTAATGGTTGGCATTTATAGCAACATTATATAGCCAAAGATGAAACAGCAGCATGGAAAACCTGGTTGGAAAATTCTTTTAGAGGGAAGGAACTGGAGAAATAGAATATATAAAAAGAAAAGTCAGGATTAAAAGAAAGTACTACCATCCATTAAATGTGAGTCCTATTAAAAATGTGTAGAAAATTTGCCAACTTCATCATGTGGCCTAACGTCTGGGCAACTAGAGTCTCTGAAATAGAGGAGGAAAGAGGGTGGGGGCAGGAACCAGAAAAATATTTGAAGAAATAATGGGCAAAAAATTCTCAAACACAGTAAAAACTATAAACTCATATATCCAAGAAGCCCAAATCACACAATAAGAAACATGAAGAGAAATACACTAAGGCACATTATAATGAAATTGTTCAAAGCCAGCGATAAAGAGAAAACTGTAAAAGCAACCAGAGGGGGGAAAAAGACATTATGTACATGGCACAAAGACAAAGATGACATCAGATTTCTCACTGGAAACACTGCAAGCAAAAAAGATAATGGAACAAAATCTTTAAGGTACTAAAAGAAACAACAACAACAACAACAACCTATTAACTAGAATTCTGTGCCCAGCATATGGCTTTCAAAAATGAAGACAAAAGACCTTTTCAGAAATACAGAGACTGAAAGAATTCATTACCAGCAAAGCTGCACTACAAGTAATTTTAAAGGAAGTCCTGCAGGGCAGAAGAAAAGGGATGCCAGATGGGAATTTGGCCCTGCACCAAGGAATGAAAAGCAACTGAAATTGTAACTGGTAAATATGTATGGGTTTATTATTAAATCTCTTTAAAAGGTTGACTGATTAAACACAAATAATGTATTATGGGGCTTATAACAGGTGAAGGTAAAATGTATGACAGCAACACCAGAAAGGCAGGTGGAGATAAATTATAGTATAATATATATAGTATAAGAATTATAATACAAGAACTACAGTATAATTCTTATACTCTACATGAAAGAGTATACTATCACTTACAGGTAGATTGTGATAAGTTAAAGACAGATACTGTAAACTCAAATCCTAATACAACCACTAAAATAGAGTTAGTAGAATCCTAAAAAAAAAAAAAAAAAAAAAAAAAATCAATCCAAAATAGGGTAAGGATAATAAAGCAGAATAAAGGAGAAAAGGGGGAAGAACAGATATGACAAATAGAAATCTATTTGATTTAGGCTCAAGCCTAACCATATCAATAATCACAGTAAATGTAAAAATAAAAACACAAGGTTTCACCATCTGAGCCTTTGTATCAGAGAATTCTTTGTTATGGGGGCCGTCATGTGCATGTAGGATCTTGGCATCCCTGGCTATTATACCCTAGATGCCAGCAGCATGCCTACATACCCAGTTATTACCACCAAAAAGATCACCCAGACATTTCCAGGTGCCCTTAGAGGGCAAGGTCTTCCCTTCTTCCCATTGAGACCCAGTGGTATAAGCACCTCAACGAAAAGGTGGAGATTATCAAGCTTGTATGAGAAAGTAAAACCAAATTATTTGCTAACTACAAGAAACTCACTTTAGAGACACAAGTGGTTAAAAAGTAGATGGATGGAAAATATATACCATGCTAACAGTTAAAAGAAAGCTAGAGTAGCTGTATTAATATCAGACAAAATACATTTTAGAGTAATAAGTATTTCTAGGGATAAAGAAGTTTATTTCATAAGAATAAGGAATTAACAGAGCATAATTCTAAGTGTTTATGCACCCACAGAGCTTCAAAATACTTGAAGCAAGATTACCAGTGAAAGAATATACTCCAAGAATAGGAAACTAATTTTAAATAAAAGAACCCACTATGATGGATAACTAGAAAACCACACTAGTATAAAAAAGAATATTTTTACTAGTATAAAAAAGAATATACTCATACAGAACAGACAAATACACGAATGGAATAAAAAATTTCAGGAGATGATTTCTGTAGATATGTATTTCTGATGGCTTGTGTGTAAGGATGGCATCATAAGTCAGTGAGGACAGGATGGATGCTTTGGTGGGTGGTACTGTAAAAACTGGCTCATTGCTCAGAGAAAATGGGGCTGGTTGTCCATTATGCCATATACAAATATAGACAGATTAAAATGTGAATTTTAAACCCATAATGCTGATAGGGGAATGTCTTTGTGGTCTAGGATGCAGCGGGCTTCTTAACAACAAAAAGACAATAAGCAAACACTGTAAGTCAAAAATGTTATGGATGTGATCAAAAATGAAGGATTTCTGATCAAGAGAAGCACCAGAGTCAACAGGCAAATGACAGATTGACAGGAGTAATCATACATTTTAAGCCAAAAAATACCTTATATATAACATAAAATTCTTCAATTCCACAAAGAAAAAAAAAATTAGAAAATGAGCAAAGAACATGAAGCAATTCAAAAAAGCTGAATAGTGAGTGGATGATAAGAATATCATGTGAGTTTCATCTTACTATTAGGGAAATGAGAAGTAAAACAAGGAAGCAAAACTACCAAAATGGAGCCAACTAAAATGCAAATGTTAGCAAGCAGTGGTGAGATGCAGGAAAGAGAAGTTATGTGGGTACAGTGTAAAATTCACAGATGTCCAGAAAGTAATCTGGGTACGTTTTATCAAACTATAATATGCCCTGTGACCTAGAAAATTGTTGTAGATTCTAAAGGGAACATGTGAGATTTGGGTCAGAAGGAACTGTAGAGACTTAGGAAATTTTTTCCATAAAACTGGCCGTGTGATGGATGCCTATTAAAGAATACTATATTGCACTAAAAAGACATTTAGACATAACATGTAAAGATTTCAGAAACAGCCAAGTAGAAAGGTAAGAAGTTAGATGTTTGCAGTGTGCTGTTTAAGTAAGAGTGCAGCCGTATATAAAATGGTGCATATTTTACAATTAGTATATGCATTATTTATTTATTTATTTATTTTTTAAGACAGAGTTTCACTCTGTTGCTCAGGCTGGAGTGCAGTGACAACGATTTTGGCTCACTGTAACCTCTGCCTCCCAGGTTCAGGCGATTCTCCTGTCTCAGCCTCCCAAGTAGCTGGGACTACAGGCATGTGTCACCACACCTAGCTATTTAACAATGTAGAAAAGAGATTAGACCAGCTGTCTAGCACATAGAGAATGACATAATGAATTAGAAATGAAGGTTATACAAAATGATCATGGTGTCTTGACTAGAGCAACAGTGACAATTGATTGACTCAATTTTTATATCCCATTTCCAGCCCTTCCACTATCACATTGCCAACCCTAAACAGGATACATGGTTTTATTCAAATATGTCACAAAACAAAGTAAACGGATTTGTGTTCTAAAGCCACAAGGCGGCAGTGGAGAGGTCAGAAAAACGTCTTGCAGTAAATGTGAAAGCGACTATAACTTGATAGAAAAATGTTCAGGGGTGCATTAAAAAGTGGAAGTTTAAGGAAGAGAAAAGTAGTTTGGGGGTAGGAGAGGAGTTTGGACCAAGTTATTAAGTATTTAAAGAATAAGCAGGGTTATGTGGAATTCTTGTGAACAGTTCTTATAAAATATTTAATAAGTGGATTCCAGTCCACTTTCCAAAATGGCCATAGCTTAAATGCATTTGGTATTTTACTCTTCAGATCAGATGGTACTCCAGATCGAAATTCATCATCTAACCCAGCTTTTTATCCCCTTTCAGGAGCCTATGAATGAGCTGCCTTCCCTGGTGTCAGCACTGAAACTCGAGAAACAAGTGTCTCTGAAATCTCTGGATCATCTTACATTCTGGCAATTTCTACCTTCTGTTAATGAAGGTAGTCATCTCTTTCCAACTAGATGGTAAATTTGTTTTCCTCATTTGTCATTCTCTAACCTAATAATCTAAAGAGAAAAAGTCTCTCTCCAGAATTTTCTTTAAAAAAAAAAACCTTCTATAACACTTTTCCGAGCTAACCCATTCATTCATTGTAATCACTGACAAACTTTTTGACCAATTCAGCTATTCATCCTTTTATCCATTTGGGTAGTAACTTAAATTCCAAACTTTTACCAGCACACCATTTACTGTCCTAAAACTAGAGTTAAAAAGGGTACAGGGAGAGTGATAAATGTAGGGTAAACATTCCTTTGGAAACTCATGGACAGAAGCCCAGGGGAAAGCTCTTCTCCTGTCACCTCTTGGTGGGGGTTGGAGGGGGAGTGTCCAGGTTACTCTGAGCTGAGGTGTGAGCTGTGATGACATCCATCTGCTTCTTACCTGGGCAGGGAACACCTGTCACCTCTCTCTCCATCATCCAGGGCTCCTTCCCTTGCTTCAAAGAGGACATCACGTGTGCCTTATAAGTCCAGTTTCCTAAGAAAAATAAATGATATTGACCATGCTGTGGTTATTACAGAATTTAGACCCACATTTTTGGTGATGAGGAATCTCGTTAACATCTCAGTCTTCCCAGAACCTCTAAAGCAGTGTTTTCATATAAAAGACCATTTACATTTTAAACCATTCCCCAGCTGTTTCTTAGGCATATGACAGCCTCAGACTATAGTTTTGGAGAATGGTGTGATGATTTTGAAGATAGTGGGGAATAGGAAGCTTGTATCATCCCAAGACGAAAATATCTTCTCTTAAAACAGAGCTACAATGCTTTACTGAAGAATATGAAGTTATAAAATTCAACTGAATGTTTTCAGGGAGTTTTGCAGATATTTGCACAGAAGGAAAAAAATCCTCCCATGGGCAATTATGAACTAACAAGACCTTCCTTACCCAAAGACGCAAGGTATTTACAGTTATCCAGCATCACATCTCTATACAGGTTTCTCTGTTCAGGGTTCAGATGATCCCACTCATCTGGTGAGAAGACCACGGCCACATCTCTAAATTTCACCAACTCCTGAAATAAAAATTTGTATTTTGTATGTATACATGCCTCCACGTGGCCCCGGTAGATATCTTTCAAATTGGGCATTCTAAGGAGGCAGACAGGATATAAGGATACATTTGATTATGTAACCAAAAAACTATAACAAAGTGCAAACAATAAAAGTATTATTTACTCTTGTAGAGTTTAGGAAGACAAAATTACTTATCCTCATGATAAAGTAACAGCTAAGGAAACAGACATTTGGTGTACATGCGTGGCTGAGTCAATAGGGTAGAGCTACCATCTGTGGGATTATGACCAAATACCTCTAAGTCAGAATCCCATCCAGGCAGAATGATAAGGGAATTCGTCCTGCCTGACAGTGTGAGCTGGGACATCGGTCTCTTTCTGCTTCAGACTGAAACTTAAGCAGCAGCTCTTCTTGAGTCTTGAACCTACTGGGTTTTGGACCGGTATTATAAATCAGTCAAAACTAAAGATTTGACAGAGTCTCTCAATATGAGCAGTCAAAAGTTCTTTGCAAGTAATGCTAGAACCATGTCAGGTCCCCCAAGTATATACATAAATTCAATAGTCTCTCCATTTTAAAAAATCCATTAAGATTATTTTTGTAAAATGTGATAAATGGATACATGATTTTCACACAAGGGAAAAATGTGACAGACTAGTTTTTACATGAAAAGTTAATGAAGGTCTTGTTCTTGCCAGAGTGTGGAGTCAAGTTGTAGTAATTAGAGTGGGTTAGGAATGTCATCAGCACAGATGAGAACAAAGAGCGAGCCCAGAAACAGATGCAAATATAGAAATGTTTACTACCTAAAAAAGATGACCTGCTAGTCTGTTGGGAAACAGTTCAGTGAATACTGAGGTAATAACTGAATATCCATTAGTAGGGGGAGAGCAAGATCCCTCCCTGACTATGAGAATATGTTCCAGATGAAATAAAAGATAATTATTGAAACTATTAAAATGTTTGAAAATGAGGATTTTCAAACTTAAAATAGAAAAATTTCTTAGAGACTCAAGTGCCAGATAAAAGGAAATAATAAAATCAACCTTATGAAAGAGAAAGAAATCTCTCTGAAAAAATAAAAGGGACACAGAAAAAACAAATTAGTATGTTGTACAACCAACAAGGAACTAATTCGGAATTTATACAGATCAATAAGAAAAAAAATAGAAGCTGCAGACTAGACAAATGCCTAAAGTATATGAATGAAAAGTTCACTGAAGAAAGCATACAAATAATCAGTCAGTCGATAAACTGTTCTCAATTAAATGCACATAATATTAGCAGCAAGTCATGCTTGTTTTGGCAAGACAGTCACAACATTTAAAACCTGGATACTATCCAGTGTTTCTAAGGGATGGAACCACGCCGTCAGTCACACTGATTTGTGGACTTCAAAGTCTGCATAGTACTTTTGGAGCATGACTTGTTAACATCTCAGATGGTTAGAGGTGAATGCCCTTGACTCAGAAATTCTAAGTCTAGATAGCTTTCTTAAAGTTCAAGAATATGCAGACTTCATGGCGACATTATGTCTACCACTGAAATACTGCAAACATAGAGATCTATAAACAGGAGAAAGGTCCAAAAACAAGACAAATCACGCTGCAGAACACATTGCAGATGTTGAGAATAAGGGCCATCTATGTGTACTGCTATGGAAACGTCTCCAAAATAAATACAAAACTTTAAAAGTTACAGAATATAGACATACCAATAAAAAAAAGATCTATTGTGTGTAAAACTGAGGACAGTGGTGAGTAGGGTTAGCGATTAAAAAGGACTTTGAAAAAATTCTTCATCTACATAGTTAAAAAGAACATCATACATTGATTTCTTATATAATTTCAAAAATTAAAAATTACAGAAGTAAAATTTAACTCAGGTCTGCCCGACTGAGGGAGGAAAATGTCTTCAGACTTCATTTTAAAAGATGTTTTGGTAAATTCATTTATGATTCAGTGGAATTCTAGCTATTCTATTTGGACATTGTTATTTAATGCCACGATTAAATCAGCCTGTCCTCTAACATAAACATGATCTCCGTCATTTACTCAGTTCTTCTAAATATGTGGCCCTAAATATGTGGCTTAGTGGGAAACGAATGTTTCTTACTGCTGCTGTAACAAATTACCACCAACTTCATGGCTTAAAACAACACATATTTATAATCTTACAGTTCTGGAGTTCAGAAGTACAATATGGGTTAGCAGTGCTGTGTCCCCACTGCAGGCTCTAGGAAGAATCTGATTCCTCAACTTTTCTAGCTTTCTAGAAACCACCTGCATTCCTTGGCTTGTGGCCAGCCCTATCCTGTCTTCAAAGCCAGCAACATAGCATCCCCCTGCCTGTTTCTTTTACATTTCAGGCCCACCCAGACAACCCAAGAGAAACCCCCATCTGAAGATCCTCAACTTAATCACACCTGCAAAGTCCCTTTTTCCATGTAAAATAACACATTCGCAGCTTCCAGGATGGGGACTAGGATGGGGATATCTTGCAGTGAATGGGGGAGATTGTTCATTCTACCACAATGTGTATCTGGCCTTCTGTTTTCTTCTGTTTACCCAGCAATGTATTATCATTTCTATGTTATTTTAATTAGCATAGTTTGATGTGTTGGATTTTAAGTCTGTCAGGACCAGTGCCCTCTTGTTACCCAGAAATATGGGGGCATCCCTCCGCCTTCATCCCAGCCACCTGACTGCCTGTGCTCCAGCTCTCCCATAGATTTCACACCAAGTTAAGCCATTGCTCCCTGCACCCCCAACACATGCAAGCTGTTCAACTTCAGCCCGAACTCACTATCCTCAGGGACTGGTATTTTTCAGCCTGAAAGTTTTCAAACAAATTCATGCCTAGAAGACCTGCTCTGATGACTCCCCTTGGTCAGTCAGTCCTTGAGTTCATTGAGCAGTTTGTTGAATGAATACTAAATCTTGGGTCAGAGCTTGAGCAGTTTGTTGAATGAATACTAAATCTTGAGTCACTAAAGAAAGCTTCTGGGTTATTTAGGTCGCCTCTGTTGCCCCTCTAACTGTCACCTCATCACCAGAATGGGGAACTGCACCCTTGTGGAACAAATGCAAAATGTCTTTCGCGCTGTAAATTGGTATTTTAGGAAGGAAATCAGAAGTAAGCAATTCACCTGTGATATCACCTCTAGAAATGACCGAGCCATTTTCCTTTTCATTCTTCACCTCCTGTTCTCAGGGAACACAGACTCCTGAGAAGCCACACCTTAAAATTGAGGACAGAAGTATGTGACACCAGGTACTCCAAGCCCCACGCCCAACCACACACACAGAGGAAACCAGAAATCCATAACAGCATACCAACCTTGGCCTTCAGGTTCTGTCTCCTTCTGGGCCCTCAGGAGAGCCCACGGGTGTGCTACAGCAGTTGGGATTTTGGATATTGGGGTCTCTCCCTATGTGTCAAAGTGTGAGACGCTGTTTTCCAGATCTGTCTTGAACAAAACTTTCCCTGCCACCCACTGAAACAGAACTTGAACTCACCTTCTCAGAAAGATCAACTCCAATACAGCTAGCAGGCCCAGCGCGCATCTGAGCCTACCTATATAGAACCTAGATCATCACACCCAGAACCTTCTCATTTCCTAATCAAGCCCAACTCACTACCTGTAGGATTCAGCTCTGTTGGTCCTGATTATAGTGGGAACAGGGAAGGATTGGGGAATGCAGGATTGTCACATCAAGGCTTAGGCTGAAAATTCCCCAGTGCTCTTTATTCATGCCTACTATGTACCCCAGGCATGATGTCATATAACACACACCCCAGATAGGCTTGTGCCACTCTTTCCACTTGAATATCTGAGATAAGAGGCCTCACCTGGTGCCTCTCACCCCCACAAGGCAGCTGCATGGAAGAGGAGAGGCAGTTTGGCACTTTGACCAGTAGGACAGCGTAAAGTAGCACCTCCA